GCCACTCTCACCACTGGTCCTGAAGGGATCATCTGTCCTGGATTCCCTGTGTTTCCGGTTCCTATCTGTACCAGTGTACATGCTCTGGTCTAACCTGATTTGTAAGGCAGAATTGGGATCATGATAGTGTGTGTACGTGTGCGGATGGGGGGGGGTGTTGAAGCATTTAAGAACTAGAGGAAAGTTGTATGTTTCATCATTGCTACACTGCACCGACTGGCTTGTCTCCTTCTCACGACCCCTCTATAAGGGGGTGTCCAGTTGCCTGCAGCTAGGCTTTGGATCCCCAATCTGCACTCCCCCTCATTCACAATGATATGATTTTTTGTTCCTTGATGCCTGATACCTGATCCTTTCAACACCTGGTGATCACAAAGGCTGGTGTGCTTCTTCCGTATTTTATAAAATCTTAGAAACCTACCCTGTTTACCCTAATGTGAGCAATCAGGATTTGAAATTGAGTTTGTTTTGTTTTTGGTAGTTGTTAAGAATGCACAAAGCAAAAATACTAATCCAACCATTTCTACATATATAATTCCGTGATGGTGACCACATTCTCTGAGTTAGGGAACCATGCTCGCCCTCCTTCTCTGAAGTATTCCTCTCACATGAACATGCACTCAGTGCCCCCACCGGTCCCTATTCAATCTTCCGAGTGTCCCTTTAAGCCCACCTAGAGAGATCTTAAAAGACACAATGCATAAGCCCTAGACCACTGGCTGGTTTTAAGAGGACTCGGGGTGTTTTTGGTTTAAGGTTTCACGATGATCTCAAGGCCATAGTTTTAAAGGGTTCACCAGGCACCCTGATTCCATATCCCCTCTAGAGCACACGACTATTCAAGACCTGTTCTGCGCTTCCCCTCCACTGAGTCACAGTGTTTTCCGAAAGGGGATAAATCAAATCATGCCGTGTTGTTAGCTGCCCTCAAGTGCTTTCTGACTCTTGGCATCCCACACGCTCAACTACAAGCTGAGGTCCCTGCTTTAAAGACGACCTAGGCAGATCTGCCCTGCAAACCTAGGCTCATCAGCTGTACTGCAGGATAAATACTCCGCCTAACAAAATGAGAACTTTTATGCTTCAAATTCCTCCTGGTCAAAGATGACTGGCAGTTCTGAATTTCGAAGTGTTGGGCTGTTTCCTCAGGGTCGGATGGGGGCAAGGCATTCCCATTCAGACGTTGCAGGAGAGCGCTGGTTTCCTTCCCAGCTGCATGGAAATTTGACTGTGCTTTGGAATATACCTGGACTATCTACATATAGATTCTCTAGATTCTAATGTGTTTTGGGAATCCACCTAAACAATATCTTATTCCCACAGAGTTACAGTCTCGGCAACCTTCCGGGGCAGTTCTCCCCTCCCCTCTAGGGTTGTTCTGGTTGACACTGACCAGATGGTCAGGATGGCCACAGACTCTAAAATGCGTCTTGGAAGATGCCTGGGGGATAAAACACACTCACACACACACACACACACATCTACAGAGGAAGGGGCAGAGCAGTCAATGCAGCGTTGAAGTGCAGGGCTGGAGACGAGTACTGAAGAACGCCGCGGACTGGCGGAAGGACAGACCCATCCGCAGGGGAGGAAGTGAGGCCAGCGGCAAGGGGGCAAGCCTTCATCCCCCATGCTTTGGGCGTTTTCAGGAGGGAACAATCTCTGGAGAAGGTCATCGAGTTTGGCGAACTAGAGGGGCGGCGAAAAGGATCGACGGCCCTCAATGAGACGGATGGACACAGTGGCTGCATCTATAGGTTCAGGCATAGGAACCTGAGGGTGAGGCTGGCGCAGCACCCTGCCATGTTTTGTTCGGTTGTGCACAGGGTCACCATGGGTCAGAGCTGACTGCATGATACCGAACAACGTGTTTAGGAACACACACACATATAGGTAGGTGGGTGTGTGTGTGAGAGAGCACACGTGCTGTCTGAAGATCAACGTCTACAACCTTCCTTACAGCAGGTTATTGCTTAACACTGCAACTCAATCTAAAGAAAACAAAAATTACACAACTACATTAATACATAATGCATCACAACAAATGGAGAAAAGACCGACATCCTCAATGATTTCATGTGACTAGGATCCACAATCAATGCGTGTGGAATCGGCAGGCAAGAAATCAAACAACAGCATGCATCTGGCAAATCTGTTGCACAAGAGTGATCACCTGTCAGAGAATTAAGACGTCACTTTGATGACTAAAATGCACTTGACCCAAGCCATGATGTTGGAAACGGAATCATCTGCATGTGAAAATTGGACAATGAATAAAGAAGCCCTGGGGGTGGGGGAGGGGATGAACTTGAATTACGGGGAATACGGAATGCACGCTGGACTGCCGGAACAGCAAACAATGCTGTTTTGGAAGGAGGACACCAGAATGCCCCTTAGAACTGAGGCTGTGATCCGGAGGGCCAGCTGCTAGAGCCGAACACCACACGTGGCCGAGGGTCAAGTGACGAGGAGACAACCCTCAGTGAGCTGGGCTGACACGTGAGGAGGACTGTGAGGCGAACACAGGACTGGGCGGGGTGCACTAAGTCAGAAGCGACCTGAAGGCCCCTAACAACAAAAACAGGCTCCCGTTTCCCTGTCCCATTGTCCTACAAAGTGTGCATCGAGGCGCTAAGCCAGGGGTCCTCAAACTTTTTAAACAAGGGCCGGTTCACTGTCCCTCAGACCCGTTGGAGGGCCGGACTATAGTTTTTTAAAAAGCTATGAACAAATTCCTGTGCACACCACACATACCTTATTTTGAAGTGAAAAACAAAACGGGGCAAAAACACCCGGCGGGCCCGATAAATGTCCTGGGGTGGGGGGCCCCCCCGCAGGTGGCTTGAGGACCCTGCTAAGCCTTCTCACTAGAAGCGGCTTGGGGAGTGTCCGGGACAGGTTTTTAGCAGACGGCAGAGGGGCCACAGACAGGTAAAGAGGCGAGCCTTACCTCATCGCCATATCGCCGGTAACTCACTTCATATAGCACAATCAGACCATTAGGTTCCTCTGGTTCCTGCCACATCAAGTGAACGATGTTGTTCTCTAAGATTTCATGGGTCACTGGACCAACGATGTCGTCCGCCTTGCCTGTAGGAAGCAGGGAGCAGTGGTTAGCAGCAGCGTCCATTCCCAGCCCCGAGCTGGTTACAGAGAATGAATATGAAGAAACCCACCTCACAGGACTGCTGGGAAGATACAATGGTTTGTTCTCTACATACACATCATTTTCTGATGGAATCCTTTGTAACGAACGGGGGCCAAAAATAGTTTTTAAAAAATTCCCAAACTCACTCACTGCCATGGACACCATTCCAGCTCATAACCACCGTATGGGGCAAGGCAGATCGGCCCTGGCAGGTTTGTGAGACTGTAATTCTTCACAGGAGTAGGAAACCTCACCTTTCTCCTGTGGCACGGCTGGCAGTGGTTTCAAACTACTGGCCTCGTGATTAGCAGCCCAAATGCATAACCCAGTATACTGCCAGGGTTCCCCAAAATATAGTATAGAGAGGATGCAAAGTCCATCAGTGGATGAATGAATAAATGATGGTATCTCTGAACAATAGCATGTTAGTCAGTAATGAAATGGAATAAAGGGTTGATACATGCTACAGCGTGGATAAACCTTGAAAGCACCGTGCTACATGAAAGAAGCCATATATGATATGATCCCACTTAGATACCATGTCCAGAATAGGCAAATTTATAGCCACAGAAAGTAGATTAGTGATTGCCCAAGGCTTAAAAACAACAGGAAATGAAAGGGGCACAGTTTCTCTTTTGTTCTGAAATTAGATAGTGGCGATGATTACACAACCTTACAAATGTACAAAAAGGCCTTTAAGTTAATCTTGTCAGGAGGATCTCACCTGAATTAAAAAACAACTAGATAGGAACTCACCCCAACAATAAAGTTTGATAATAAAGACGAAAAGGACAACAACATAAACAGAATTCTATGGCTCTTTCCTCCAGCTTCCCTCAAATGACAACATTCTGCGTAAACATTATCAAAACCAGGAAGCTGTCAGCAGTGCACAACTACTAATTAGACGTACAGGCCTTATTGGGATTTAAAGTTCCTATGGAAGGAAGGAACCCGAGTGGTGGGTGGTCAATGTTTTTGAGTGCTACCGAGATGGCTGGTAGTTCAAGTCTACCGGTCTTCTAGGCTGCCTCAAAGGCAGGCCGGGTGGACTTCCTTCCGGAAAACCATTGACACCAGCCCTACTCCGGCCCGTGGGGTTGCCGTGGGTAGGCGCTGGCTGCTTTGGTGTCTGAAAGGCACCTCGACCTTGGACAACACACAGGAAGTGCTCAAAACGTGTTGCGTCTAACTGACTCACTAGAGGAGGCAGGGATCTCACAGCTGTGCCAGCCGCCAAGGGTTTCCAGGTCTAGCTCTCCATCTCGGCGCAGCTGGATTTAAACTAAGGAGGGAGCGCCATCCACAGGAGTCAGTTCCTGTAAACTCAAAACCTGCGCACTTTGTTGCATGTGCAGCCACTGCACTGAGAGCAACTTGGAAAACTACGGTAACTTCAATAGTGCGGCATCAGAATATAACAAATCACAGACAAATCAATGGAGGCAAGAAAGGGCAAGGCCAGAAACGGACCTATGTCTACACACAAGGGAGCTTCGAAAGAGCTGTGGAAAGGGGGAAACCGAAAACTGATGGGGTTTCCCCTAAAAACTGTCTGAAGACCCCTTGTGTAGGAATTTGCTTTCAGAAAAAACGACTGGGCTAGCCTGGGCAAATGGGTGCAATCTTTCTGGAGGACGAGGGGACAAAACTCGACCGTTCTACTGCTAACTGCACATGCTCCAAGCACTCAATTCCAGATCGACAACTAGACGTCAAGGGGATATTCCTGGGCAATTGCACCAAGTAATTCATTCTGGTGCTGTCTTTCAAACTAAGCATCACAACATAACACTGAGAAAAGAGTTTTTAACTAAAACGAACCATTCCTATGCCTTTAGGGGACTCCCTACCACTGGGGAGGTGGGGTGGGGATTGTGAGTTAAAAATGGTATGAATGGTATGATTCCATTTTAGTAAACAGCTTAGTGGTTATGCGTTGGGCTGCTAACCGCGAGGTCTGCAGTTCAAAATCACCAGCTGCTCCATAGGAGAAAGAGGAGGCGTTCTACTCCTTTTAAGGAGTTCCGCTGTTGGAAACCCATGTGATTGGTTCTACCCTCCCATAGGGTCACTATGAATGTGAACTGACTTGATGGCAGTTGTGTGTTTTCCGTGTATACATGTCGATGTGATTCTGCTTGGATATAGGGTTATATTACTTCTTAAAAATGTGATCATAGAGAGTTTTAAATCTTACCGTTTCTGTGATAGAAAAAGGAAGGTGCACAGGGAAAGTCAGGCACCATGTGAATATTGTCTACAAGGCTGCAAAAAACACTTCTGGAGATCCTGAGGTGGCCTTTGAGCCTCCAAAACTAGAGGGGAAATACATTTTTGTCCTTTAAGGCCACCGGCTTGTGGTATTCCTTTCGCAGCAGCACTCGGAGACTAAGACCTAAGTATACACATTTCTATAAAAGGGACGTTCTGGAAGCTCATACAACAGACGGCTATCAGGGCTCACCTTGGTGCAATCTTCGTACATCTGTTTATATAGGTATGAGCAGAATTCATTTTACAGAAAGCAAGCTCTGAGAGGATAGACATACAACGGAAGGGCTTAATAGGATTACCTCAGGGGGCTCCCACCCATTTCCACTCACGGGGACTCCCCTGAGGGATGTTGAGGAGCGGCCCGCCCCGGGTTGGGGGGTCTGACACTGTGATCTTTACAGATGCAGACTGCGCATCTCTCCCCTGTGGAGCGGCTGGTGGGTTGGAACCGCCGACCTTTGGGTTGGCGGCCGAGCGTGTAGCCCATCTGTCGGGAGAGGTCGTTTCTCAGGGACTCAGGGGTGATGGCATCTAAATTTTCCTTATTGCTTATGCCTATTCACTCCTTTGTTTTTTTCTTCTCAACATGTCTGTGTAGTCTCTAAATGCTATGGACTGGCCACGCATGTCTTTTATTTTCTTCTTCTCGGGACTCGTGTATGTTTTCTAAACTTTTATATCATGGACGCGTCCTTACAGAAAGAAAAGGGCGTAAACTGAAGTAAGGGCGTGTGCGCATGCGCGCCCGTGCACACAGGCGCGCGCCCGTGACGCACAAGACGCACGCGTGCAGGCGCGCAGGCGCACAAGGCGCACAGGCGCGCAGGCGCACTCCCGACAGGACGCCGTCCCCCCCCGCCCCGCCCCGCCCCGCCCGCCCGCCCGCGGACCCACCTTCCGGCATGGTTCTGGCGCTGACGTAGGCGGCCACGCTGCATCTTTCTTCGGGGACATCTTGGTTGCACGCTTGCAGTTCAATACGGTAGCCCGTAAAATGGCGCAGGCCGGAAATGACCAAAGACTCCTTGTTTACCACTTTCTCGAAGGGCCGGAACTGGGCTGGGCTAGTGGGCTCGCTGGTGGAGGAGGCGTTGGGGAAGCCCGGAACGGTGGGCGCGGCCACGGTCACGTTCCCGGCGTCCCCCAGAGCCCTGCGCTTCCGCGACGGCCTGCAAGGACAATGGGACACGAACGGCCACGTGACCACTACCACCTTCAGGAATCACGCAGGGGGGCCCCGGGCAGAAGGGGAGCACACTCTGGGGCGGGAGGGGGGAAGCACGGTGATTAAAGAGACACCCCCGGATCCACCAGGAATGACCACCCAGGGCGGGGCCATGGCGTGGCGGAGGGCTGGATGGGTGGCTCCGGGCGCCAGCCCGCCAGCCGCAGACACATGCTCGGTTTCAGGTTCTCGCGTAGCGGATTAATAGGCCACCCAGGGTCAGTGTTAAAAATAAAGACACCCGAAGCGGCAGGAGTTCGCCTTGCGGGAAGGCCGGACCGTGGCGCCGGCCCCCTGGCCCGAGCCACCGTCCAACTAACGTCATCTTCCAAATGGGAGGGACACGTCACCGCCGCCCGATGACTAACGGGGCCATCTGCAAGAGTGCAGCGATCACACTTCTATTCTTGGTAAAGGAATCTTACTACTCCGACACCGAGGGGTCGCTCGGGAAGCGGCGCGCGGTGGGCAGCCCCCACCCCGGGAGCCCGTGCGCGGGGGCGGGCGCACCCCGAGTGTGGCTCGGCCTGGGGCAGGGGTGCCGAGCGGAGGGCAGCCGCGCACACAAAGGGCCACTTAACGTGCGGCGCCCGTGTCCCGAGTGTCCCGAAGGGCAAACCACAGGCAGAGAGCCGGCCAGGGCGGGCGGGGTACAGGGTTTCCCCTCCGAGCGACGCAAACCGCAAAAGTTTGGAACGCGGCGGCAGCGGTGATGTTTGGACGCAGCGTGAACTGTGTACTTGAAAATGGTGGCAGTGATAACGATTTTGCCTTCCGTGTATTTTTTTCACACAGGACAGCGGGGGCCAGGGGGGTAAAAAAAAAGATAAGTCAGCGGCTCGGGTGAGGCGGAAACCTGTCCCAGAAAGAGAACACAACTATTTTCCATTAGCGCAAGCCATAGGAATGCAGTGACCGCACCCTGTCCAAGGCGGACAACTGGCGAGACCCCGAAAAAAACTCGGCACTCCTGCCGAGTTCCAACTCTCTCCGGTTTTAACGTATGAGGAAATAAAATGGTGATCGCCTAATGATTTTAAAATACAAAAAAAATGTTAAGTATATAAAGAAAATTTAAACTATCAGTAATTCTCTCCGCAGTTTCCTTTACGATTTAAATATATAAATATTTAAATATATATATATGATCAAATTTGTTTCATGACCTTCCCCTTCCCCCCATCCCTTCCTACATTGGAAAGCATTCTCCCAATGGCATTACATATTTCCCTTACAACATGTTTTAAGCAGGGCAGGACTTAAGTGCATTTTTGTTTTTGGTTTTGTTTCATCAAGGTTAGGGTGTCCCCCCCCCCGTTGTGAAAATAGTACATGCTGCGGGAGGAGGAAGGGAGCAACCTAGAAAACATTGAATGGTCGTAAATATTCCATCTAACACATCACTGTAATTTTCTTTTTTTAACCACAATTTTCATAACCATCTAATTTTCCAGTATGAAAACATTCCCAACTTTTTTTTGCTGTTATACAAAGTCTGACTCACAGCCACCCTATAGAACAAGATAGTACTGCCCCTGTGGGTTCCCAAGACAGTAACTGAGTAGAAAGCCTCATCTTTCTCCCTCAGAGCAACTGGTGGTTTCAAACTGCAGACCGTGCAGCTGGCAGCGCAGCATGCAACCACTATGCCACCAGAGCATATTGACGGTTATAATTACTGCTACCCTACCGTCTCAGGGAGTCCCGGGGGCACAGTGGTTACGCATAAGGCTGTTTCACCACCAGGTCAGAAGTTTGAAACCACCTGCCCCGAGGTGGGAGAATGAGGGCACTTTCTACTCTCGTAAAGAATGTCCCGGGAAGCCCAGAGAGGCAGTTAGTTCAACCCTGTTCTAGAGGGTCGCTAGGAGTGGGAACTGCCTGGAAGGCAGCGAGCTTGGCTTTTTAAGTATGAGATTGTCTTTTTTAAAAAGGCTGCCTCTGAGCCAATTCTGGCTGATGGTGACCCGAGTGCGAATGGAACTGCGTTCCATAGGGCTTCCAGCGGCTGCAACCTTTCCAGAGCAGACTGCCTGCTCTTCTCTTTCTGGGCTGTGTCGACATGGTCAGTTCTTCAGTGAGTGGGTCAGCACTGTACCACCCAGAGACTTAATTGTTTTATTAGTTCCTGAAAGTGGATTCCTAGAAGAGAAACCACCAAGCCAAAGGGGATATGAAACCTTTTACGCTTCTTCATGTGTCTGGCTACCTCGTCACCTAAAAACAGCTCAGGGTGAACCCCAGCCGAGCTGAAAGTCTCACAGAAAACGGCCAGATTTTCAACCCACGAAACACACACTGATGTCTGCTGCTTGGGCATTCCTTTGTTCCATTCAGCTTCCGTTCCTCAGCCCTAGACAGGCTTCTGTTTCACCGGGAAAGCATCCCTCCCTGTCCTTGGCCAATTTTCTCCACCAACTTCTAGTGCTTTCCATATTCCAAGTGGTGATGGGTAAGGCTGCCTGTCAACCTGGCCTCGCAGTGGTGCCCAGCTGTTTGGCTGAACGCTGGGTTGTTGCTGGGCACTGTCAGGTTAGTTCCGCCTCACAGCAACCAGGCTGCAGGGCAGAGCAGGCCTGCCTCACAGGGCGGCTGACAACACGAATCCTTTATCTACTGCACTGTGCCATTCAGCCCTGTTGGCTCTGGCCCGTGAGTTCTCTTCAGCCCATCTGACGCAGTCTTTCACGTTTATTTATAGAAGTTTCTATAGCAGTGAATTTTTTTAAAAAGAAAAGAAAATCCGTGCAGATAATTCTCAGCGGGGCTATTATGAATGGCATTTCCCCTGACTGCCTGCTCGCTGGTGGTTCGGTGCCGACTGATCAGTGCTGACTCACAGCGACTGCTCGCTGTACGACAAAACAAAACACCACCCAGTCCTGTGCCCACGCCTGAGCCCTCTGTGGCAGTCGCTGTGTGGGCACATCTCGTTGAGGGCCTTCCTCTTTTTCGCAGCCCCCTCCACACGTATGACGTCCTTCTCCAGGGACCATCGCTCCTAACAGCGTGTCCAAAGAACGTGAGATGAAGGCTCACCAACTAGCCTCGCTGTGTCCTACTTAGTGCTAACATACCTGTCACTTACCTGTCACTCGCTTTATTTATATCGCATTAGGAATGATTTCGATCTCCTTGCTCAAACCCTTACAAAGGGCAGCATGGTTGATTTCCTCTATTTTTCGAGGACTCCACTACAAAGGGAATGGCTACACACAGCTTGCCCTGTAAAGGGTCAACGGTCACCATTTGGTCTCTGCCACACTGGCTCCCTCTGCCATTGCAACTCAAGAGCAGCCACAGGTAACAGGTGAATAAGGTGGGTGTGCCTGCATCGCCGCATCTTGCATTATAAAAACAGGAGGCCAGCCTGCATGCTGACTTCCCTTCCCACCACTCATTCCAGTTTATTGGGCCTCTTTGTACATCGACTAGACACCAAGGGAAATGTTCACCGATGTTCTTAGGTGCCACGGAGTCCGCTCCGACTCACAGCAGCGACCCCACGTGCAATAAACAAAACGCCGCCCGGCCCTGCAGCACCCTCACAAGGGTTATGCATGAGCCAGCTGTGGCAGCCTCGTTCTGAAGAGGGATGGTTTTAAAGAAGATGCTGGCTTGGCAGCTGGCTTAGCGTGTTGTTAGCTGCCATCAAGTCTGTTCCGACTCACGGCCACGCATGTGTGCACAGTGGAACTTCTCCATGTGGTTTTCAAGGCCGGGATCAATAGCTGAGTTTGAACTGCCAGCCTTTCAGCTGATGGTCTAGCACATAAGCAATGTGTGTTGGATTCTATGATACAAGCCCTCTTTGATTTCTCCTTTTTGAAATTAGGAATTGGAGATTAATGTTCATGAATGAGATTTGGGTTGGGGGGAAATGTTTGGTTATTTTTTCCAAATCCATGATGAAATAGTTATATTATCAATCTTCTGATCTTAAACCATTTCTGAGATAAGTGATGTTTCCAATGCAGTATTTGAGTTAGGAGATTTGGATCTAAAGTCAATTACTAGCTTGACCTGTGGTTTTCCTTCCAGTGAACGATCTTTGGCAGGTACTGTCAGTGGTGTTACATTAGTTTCATAAAATGAACTGTGAAGATTTGCATAGACCTCTATGCTTTGGAACAGATCTTTTAATTTAAAGAAACAGTTGGTCTTTCAGAGTCTGAAAGACCTCATCTGTAAAACTCTCTGGGCCCGGTGCCTTTTGGGAGGAAATTAACTGGCACATATTTTTCAGTCTTCTTTTCCAAGGTTACTAGACGACTTTATTTTCTGCTGCTTCCTGAATCCGTCTAGACAAGCTAAATTTTCCTGCCTGACCGTTTCTACCAGCCCCTGGTTGTCCAGAGATTTCGACATCTTAAAACTTTCCTCAAGCCCTAGCTTCAGGCCATCTTCTTTCTGTTTATTGGTGTCCCCCACTCCCACCCTCTGATTATAACAACCCAATGCTCTGTCACTGCTGTTTTCATGGCGTGTGTCCACAGATGGTAAACTTACGTGAGACAGAATGAAAACTGCCCAGCGGTCACCAGGTTGTGGCTCAGAGCCACAGCATGCATTTTGACTCATCGTGTGGCCCCGTACAACAAAACAGAGTTTTGCTAGGCTTTGATCTTTACAAAAGCAGGTGGTCAGGTTGGCACCACTAGTCTTATGGTGAGCAGCCATGCCACCAGTATCCCTTCCCCGGTTAGCACAGGCTTAGCTGCCAGTGAACTTCTTCCTTGCTGATACATTTGGTCCTGACATTTATACGCCCTTCCTTTAACTTGTCAGACCAGGTAAGTCTAGTTATTTCGGTCACAGCCCAACGTCGACCATACAGTCCGGAAGCTATGAGACAGCACCACAGTCTCATTTCCTTCCTTCCAAGCAGACTTCTAGGGCCACTGCCACGTCCACTTTGACCCACCAGATACGTAAGCAAATGACTTTTAATCAACAGAGAGTAATATTTCCCGTTCAAACTGTCGAAACTCGGGTTTATGTTTTTACTGAGTGGGGCTCGGCTGCTAATGGCGATGTTGGCCGTCACACTCCGCTGCTGGGGGTGGGGGAGTCAAGATACACCAGACACATCCTTGCATTGAGGTGCTAAGATTCTTCTTGGTAGTCTTTTGGCAATGCAAACCCAAAAGGCGACTTCAGATGGGAAGAAGACAGCTTCCACATGCCCAGCCTACCTTCAAGCTCAAAGCATAGCCACATTCGTGGGGGTCAGAACATTTCCACACAGGCACCAACTGGCCTCCCAGAAGTGGTGTCTGGATAACCACCCATGATGGAGAAAGCGTTATCAGAGCCACCAGGAAATACAGCACGTGTATCTACAAATGCGCACGCACCACGGAGATTACACCCAGAAGACCCTGGCGTGGTGATGGCAGACCACGGACGCCCACAACAAAGTACGTAACAGACCCATTCCTCCCCTGCAGAAGGCAAACAACGCCGCCTCGGAGCTGACCCCTGCTCAGGGCACCCGTGTGTGCCAGCACAGAGCTGTGGCCCAGAGGGTTGTCGGTGGCCCATGGTTCAGACGCAAGTCTCCAGGCCTTTCTCCCAAGTGCCCCGGGAGCCGGTTCACCAGGGACTCCTCCATTCCTCTCTACACAGTGTTTTACTGGAATGTGGTTCCCAGCCAGGGACCCTTGGCCAAGTGCAGTGCAGGGTGTCGGTATCCCTTCTAGGGAGTGGGGCATACTGCTGCGAACACCCTACAGAGCACCAGACAGCCCCTGCCACCCCCACCCCCCAACAAAACGAGCACCCAAGGTGTTGGGGGCGAGAAACCCGGGTCTTCACCAAAGCAGCAAATGTCTAGGTCTAACCTTATTCCCAGGGGCCCTGGTGGCTCAGGAGGCAGGAGCTCAGCAGCTTCCTGAAAGGTTAGTGGTTCAAGCCCAGCAGCAGCTCTGCATCCAGAAAGACTGCACCCTTGGAAATCCTACGGGGCAGCTCTGTTCTGTCCTGGTGGCACAGTGGTGACGCCCTGGCAATTCAAACTCACCAGCCGCTTCTCAAGAGGCAGAGGTGATGGTCTGACGCTCATCGAGACACGGAGCCTCAGAAACCTGAGGGTCTCCGTGGATCAGCGTTGACTACAAGGGGGAGCCTTAATGCTGATTACATTCAAGCGGTCACTAGAAGATCTCGCACACCAATTTGAAAGTCATTTTGTGTTTAAGGAGATGTCCTCTCTGGGCCCCAATCTGCCCGCCTCCCCCCCCAAAAGCCAGCCATCCCAGGAGCCTGCAAGTAGACCCACCTCCTTGCCTTGACCCGTTCTCTCTGCTTGGAATGCCGCCCCCTCCTCCCATCTGCACCAACACCCCTTCCTTCATTCTTCAGGATACAGCATTCAAGGACGCTTCCTGACCTTCCTGCATGGAATGCAGCTGCTCAGCGTGCCTGTACTTGTCACTCCGAAGACAAAGGTTCTGCTTCCCTATCAGTCCTTCCCACTGTAGTCTAATCTGCTGGGCAGGCACACCCTGCCTCAGGAGCCGCTGACTCCTCCGTGTCCGTGAAACTTGAGTGACTGAGTGGACAACATGGGGACAGGGGTGGGAGAGGGGGCACATGTGGCCCATCTGGGAGGTGCTGGTCAATATTTCATGGGTTCCATTTTTAAAGAAGCGCAAGTTAGTTGAGCAGCCCTGAGGGCACAGCGATTACACATTGGACTGCTAACCACAAGTCAGCAGTTTGAACCTGATCCCGGGAAGAAAGATGAGGCTTTCTGTTCTATAAAGATGGACAGCCAAAGGGACAGCTCTACTCTGTCTTATAGGGCCACCAGGAGTCGGAACCAACTCAGTGGCAGTGAATTGTTTTTCAATGTTAGTTGAGATTATTCCCTGGACTTGTGCTCAGAGCCCCTCTCAGTGAAGAACTAGAGGAAGCATGTGCAATGCAGCTCCATCACATGCAACAAGGCCCAGCACCCATTGCAGTTTTCCAGGTACCCCACAAGCCCCCCTCCTGGCCCGAGGACCTTGGACGCTGTGTCCCCGGCCAGTCACAACCAGGGTCGTCAGTGACAGAGCCTGGAGAGGTTTTTCTTTGCAGGCGAGACCAATAGCTTTGAGGCTAGAGAGAACTTCTGCAGTCTCTTGTCTCTGATCCCGTAGTCTTGGGCCACGGTCCCCAAGGCACCACCAGGGTGTATGATGAATCCACTCCAGCAGAGAAGATGCCCAGTCCACTTCCGCAGGGGCCAGCCTGCTAAGGGTTCCACCCACTGAAACGTCCCAGTTAGGGAGCATTTTGGTTTTTACCTCAAAGTCATACCGGCCTCTGGACCCAGAGTCCCGGGGGTGTGGGTGGGAGGCGGGAAGAGTGCAAGGAGACGCCAACAGCAGGTTCCACAGGGGTGGTTCCAGAGAAAAGAGTCATTGGAAGAGGGGGGCAGAGAGATCTGGCATTTCTTTTGGGGGGTTGATGCTCTTGGGAAAGGGCCAGGGGCCTCTGACATCTGGAAACGCCCCTGGTCTCGCAGTTGACTCGAAGCCAGGGCCCGCATGTGCGTGGGAGTGGGACTGTGCCCCATGGGGTTCAAGGTGGGTTTTGAGGAAGCAGGGCACGCATGTGCGTGGGAGTGGGACTGTGCCCCATGGGGTTCAAGAGTGGGTTTTGGGGGAGCAGGTTGCCAGGTCTTTCTTCCAAGATGCTTTGGGTTGGACTCCAACTTCCAACCCACCATCACCTGCGAAGGTTCCCGCAGAAGTTTGAGGGGGCGAAACTATAGATATACACTGGATTGTGCCACACCCCCACCCCAAATACCAAGGGACTTTTAAAAGTTCAAGAACAAATTATAGAACCTTTTCATTTTCTGACTGAGGGCCCCCTCCTCCCCACCCTGTAGGTGAATACCCTAACCTCCATGCCTGCAAGTACAATTCCAGGTAGAAATGGGCTATCTCTGCTACATTAATGAGGCAAGATCAGTGTATGAGGTATCTTGAGTCCATTTCTTTTGAGATATAAAAAGGTATTAAACAGATGGGGCTAGACAGATTCCAGGCCACATGGAGACATCCACAGGACCAGGAAGCAGACTCTGGCATGACCAGGACTAGCCCTCAGAGCCCAGACAGAGAGAAAGCCTCCCCAGAGCCGGACGTCCAGCCTTCCCAACAATGGGCTCAAGCAGAACAGCAAATGTGAGGGAACAAAGGAGCGTGGGTGGGGTGTTTCATCCTGTTGTGCATAGACAGCACACCGATTCGACAACACCTAGCAACAAACAACTGTGGGACAATACATTTCTGTGACGGCAGCACGAGCCACAACCACACTGGCCGTTTGCTGAGGCACGAAGTCCACCAACTCATAAAAATAGGTTTCAGACACCCAACAGCTTCCACGGATTGCCGTAAAGACTTGTGGAACCATACAACAGAGATGGTTAGCCGCTAGCGCTTCCTGGCAACCGAGGGCAAGCCTGTCGTGCTCGGAAGTGCTCGATTCACTCCCCTTACCTAACTCAGTGGTCCTCAGCTGGGGCAAGTTGGACCCAGATGAGTGGGGAGGGAGGGGTCTGTGCCTGCTGACGCAGCCAGGAGTGGGGCTGAGAAGGCAATAGCTGGCAGCCGGGCTCTGGCCTGAGCAGGGAAGCTGAGGTTCCACGTGACTGGGTGACATGTGCTGGGGTTCTGTCCCCCACCACTCAGTGGCAGCAGAGGTGGGCAGCTTAGCATTGGTGGTGCACGCAGTGTCCAATTAATAAGAGAGAACCCTGCCTGCAAACTCCCCAGGATGGGAACCCATCCCCTTTCACATGTTGGAGGGCACCCAAACTACGTCCCTGTGGGTGTCGTGGACACCCCACGAGGGACAGGGGCGCTGTGAACTGGGTTACTTATCATCACCAGGTGGTGGGCAGGCAAGCAGACACGGGCCTCCCAGGGCTCGCCTCCCTCCCGCTTCCCTGGCTGCCCAAGTTCCTTTGCGCTCAGGCAGACCTGCACGGGAGTCAATGATCCCGAGGGCTGTGGGGAGGCTCACACTCAGGGTCGTAAGCAACTGAAGTAATCGTCCCCCAGGAAGCTTCCTGGGGACTTGGAAGGTCTCCCTGTGCGAGGAGGAGGCTTCCCCGTGCCCCACCGGCACCCCGCACCCCCTCGTGGTGGCCCCGCGGGCAGCAGACCTGGGCACGAAGACGACGTTGTGCAGGTAGTCCTCGAAGGTCTTGCGGAAGGACGACTCCTCGAGCTCCTTCATGATCTGGGAGTCCGTCTTGGGGCAGGAGCAGCACTGGCCGGCCGCCTCCTCATAGTCGCTCTGGTTGGGCTTCTGGGCGCCCTCGGCCTCCGATGGCGGGGACCAGGCTCGGGAAGACAGCTTCAGCCCTGCAGACAGGACCGTGCTTGGAGCCCAGCACACATGCTGCGCCCCAGCCAGAGGAGACTGTCCCACAGACAGGGGCTCCCCTTCTGGTGGGGAAACCCGGGCCCAACCCCTACGTAGGGCACACCCCTGGAACACAGTGCCCCGTCAAGATGTACAGCCCTGGAACCCACAGGGGAAGTTCCCCTTGGTCCGACTTGTTTGTTGTGACTCTGTGGCAGCACGTCTTAAGTTTGGAGAAGCTCCACGCGGAGCCCAGGCCCGCCCCTGGCTTTGTCAAGGAGTTCTCAGCACACCTGTGTGCGGCCTGCATGGTCAACGCGGCCACGCCCACACCCGTGTGGCGGGGGCCAAGCAATGGGAACGTGCATGTTTCCATGAGGTAGCACAGAACGTGCACGTGCGAGTGTGGGCGCCTGTGTACACACACTGGGAAACAGGCTGAGAGAAGACCTTCCTGGGGTGAACCACCTGTGGGGGCGGGGGGCACCCCTGCACTCACCTTTGAGGCAATAATCCAGGTCATACAGCTCACTGTCCTCCACCTGCTTCTCCCAGAACACCAGGTAGTGCGTGATGTTGCCATTGGGGTCTGAGGGAGGCTTCCACTTCAGGAGAATCTGGGATGAGGAATTGGAGACCGAGATAGGATCCTGGGGGACAGAAGGATCTGGAAGGAGAAAGGAAACAGGTCCACAGTGAGGAGGTGGGGAGAGTACAGGTGGTGGGATGGGTGGGTGCCCATGTTGAGGGAACCAGCAGGGTGGTCTCTGCAGCGTTCTCTGACCCGAACGACAAACACCTGCCAGAAGTTGTTCAAAGCACATGTACTAGTCGTGTCCCGGCAGAGCGGTCTAGCTATTGCCTCCTGCCAGTAATCTCAAAATGCTCTTAGCTGCAGGCAGGCCACCGGGATACCAGGCCCACCGCCCTGGGTCGGCTTCCCACTCGTTGCCCCTGCAGGGTGGAGGAGAACGTCCCCATGGTGGTTCCCAGGCCACCGTCATCGTCTCCCACGGACGGCTTCCAACCACGAGCCTCGTTTGTGGTGAGGGGCCCAGCACTCCACCCACAGTGCCACCAGAGCCCTCGAAGGTGGGTGAGGGTCACACTCCGAGCAAGCCGGGTCCTAACTAGCCTGCTGGCAGCTGATCTCAGTCAAGTGGGGGAAGGCAGGGCTTAATCAATCGTGTTGAGATTCGTCAACGCCGACAGGGGATCTTTATTTCTCCGTCTCTTCTACGAAGAAGCCCCGAGGCAGAGTTGGACATGGGTGAGGCACGGACTGCCCACCAAAAAGCCGGCGGTTTGAAACCACCAGTGGGCCCATGAGAGAAAGATGAGGCAGTCTGCTTTCATTAGCATTTACAGCCTCGGAAAACCTCTGGGCAGTTCTACTCTGTCGTAGAGGGTGGCGTGTGCATGCGTGCTTCCTTCTCCTGATAAGCTTTGTTGTACCTAGCTTCTCTGACTCATTGGCTTTTTCTAGAACCAAGTTGGTCTCCCATATACATGCACATAGAACAGCTACTCAGCATTAATCTTATGTCCAAACTTGGGAGCCTCTGGGTTATTTTTAACCCTCAACAGGCTCTGCTGTCCAGCAATCACCTGACCCCCTGACGTCCTAGGAAGCTGCCCACATTGAAATCCACACCCTGAGTGGGGAGCCGAGGGTGCCCCGGAGCCCGGTGGCGGGGGGAGGGGATGGGTGACATGTTGGCTGCTAACCACAAGGTCAGCTGTTTCAAATCGCCAGCTGCTCCTTGGGAGCAAGAGAGGCTTTCTACTCCCGTCAAGAGGCAGGGTAACTCGGAAACCCACAGGAGCAGTTCGACCCTGCCCTGGGGGTTCCCGGTGAATCGGAATCCACTCGGTGGCAGCTGAGAGTTTAGGATTTACACCAGTGGTTCTCGACCCCTTTAGGGGTCAAACGACCCTTTCTCAGGGGTCTCCTAAGACCACATTTCCGATGGTCTCAGGAACCCAGACACAGCTCCTCTCCGTCTCCAGGGGGGTCCCCCCACATGCAGACATGCCCACATACAGGGTCGCCACATGAGGAACGGTATTGAAGGGTCACAGCATTAGGAAGGTTGAGAACCACTGGTTTACACCATCTGACACACTGGGAATTTATTCATGTGAGAGGATTGAACTCTGTTTTTTGACTTCGAGAGGTTCAAAGCCCACTAACACAGGGGTCTGAGATCTGGGCACTGCTGTCCAGGACGGGAAACTCTTTGGTCTGGACACTGCTGTCCAGGTAATAATTCCAAACCGACCCGTAGGGCTTCACAGGCTGCCAATCTGCATAGCAACCAGCCGCCAGGTCTCGCTCCTGAGGAACAACCAGCGAGCTTACACCAACAACCTGTCCTGGAGCACCGAGTGCTTTAACCATGGTGCCACCAGGATCCCGACTTACTGAGCGCCCAGACCCCACCCAACCCACAGCTGTCAAGTCAATTCAAGACACTGCCCCATGGGCTGGCTAACAGGCAAGATATCTGATCCCAGTTCAAGTTCACATTCCCAGCACTTACTGGTGGCGTCTGTCTGGACATAGATGATGTCACTCTTGGCCCCGTAGGTCCGGCGTTCATCAGAAAAGGTGACCAAGGACTTGACGAAGATGGCGTACTGGGTCCAAGGCTTGAGACCCCGCATCAGCCACCCAGGTTGGCTCTGCATCTTGGGGTCGTTGGACCTCGGGGGCGGGTCGATGTCCACCACTGTCCAGCTGTTAGAGCCACACGCGTCCTGCCCGTCAAACTCGGTCACATTCTGATAGGGGCTTCGGGGAGGAAACGGGGAAGGGCGTTACATCAGCTACACTGGGCTGCTGATTTTGCCGGCTGCCCCCAGCCTGCCCGGCCTTGTTTGTTCTCAAAACAACAATGTATCTATTTGCGCTGCTGCTGCTGCTGCTGCTGCTGCTGCTACTGAGAGTCTGCACAGCAGAACAGGCACCGGAGCTTCACAAAGTCGTGGAAAGACAGGATGAAAAGAGAACAGGCCTTTCTGAAGCCCCCTTGCCCACCGTTGGACAATTTCTGCACTGACTCCATTCTTCCAGGCATTTGGCCGCTCCCGCTGCCCCGCCCCCAAGTCGTCCCTCCCACAGGAACATGAACTTGCTGCCCCCTAAGCTTCCTATCTAACCTTTCAAGAGGCCATGGCCAATCTGAGCCCACGTCAAACAAACCCACTGCCATCAGGCCCGTTCCAGAGACCAGCCCCACAGGGCTCCAGAGAACATACGGTCGGTCTTTACAGGTGCAGAAGGCCTCTTTTTGCTCCCGAGGAGCTGCTGGTGGGACTGAACCACCCACCATTCCATTAGCAGCCCAACACTTGATGCATGTGATCTTAGAAGCGTACACTGCCCACATTCTTGACCAGTGAACTAAACTGTTGTTTGGATTTCAGGACGACGTCAGGGGGTCACCTGCCCAATCTATGGCACAGTGGGAACCAAAAGAGGCGCAGCCAATGGAAAAGTGGCAACTACCCCCCCACCCCCACCCCCCAGTCTCAATATCCCACCCACCGTAATAATAGCCGCAATGACCTCGTGAGCGTGAGCGACTGACGCGAGAGAACACATGGTTTCTCAGCACACAGCCAGCCACATCCTGGGTCCTGAGGGATGGCGTGACTATGGCTATTACTAATATGACCCCAAGGACCACTGCTGCTGGGGCCATCAAGTCAACCCCCATGCACGACAACCCAGGCACAATCCACTGTAGATCAGACTGCTGTGTACCAGCAGGCTTTCATAGGCGATCACCAGGCCTTTCTTCCTAGTCTGTGTTAACCTGGGAGTGCTGCTGAAACCTGTCCGGCCTCCTAGTAATACACAAGCCTCCATGCACAGATGGGTGGTCGTTGCTCAAGAGGGACACTGGCCGGGAGTTCAGCTCGGCTCTCCCCCCATGGGAGGTGAGCATTCTATCACTGATCCGCCAATGCCAGCAACTGTAGTACTCGCCATCTTCCTGCAACCTCCCAGCCCAGTCCTCCACCCAAACCAGCTAGGCACACAGAGCTCCTTGGCTGAGAAAGCCCGTGGGTGCTACACAGGGGGCAGAACAGTCCGGGTTTGCAAAAGAAACTTACCTACTTCAATGTCTGGCTTTTGACCACAAGACACCCTGTAGATGCCACATGCCGTCAGATGGTGACGACATAAGCCAGGAGAGAGAGTTGAGAGGTGACCCAGAAGAGCTCCTAAGCTCACAAACAACAGACACAGGCTAGCTGGCCTCCCCCTCTTCTCAGCACCTAAAGCTTGTACTTACGCCTCCTTGTAGAACAGCATGAAGCCCAGAAGGTCTCTGAAGTCAGGTGGCCAGTACGGCTTCCATTTAAGCAAGATCTTGTCAGGAGACGTGCGGATGTAAGAAAATGTGAGTAATTCGTTTTCACCTAGAAGGGCAAGAAGTGAAAATACACGCACTGAAAAACTTCTATGTCAGTATCAAAGTAGTTTGCTTCAGGCCCAAAGAGGTCGTTGCCAGGAGGGAGGCGACACTCTTGACAATTCCCTAGCTTCTCCCTGTGCCGGCAGCTCTGGACCTGAGTGTGAACGGCGGGAGGTGGGATGAGTTCAGACATAAGAACTGGCCAGGTAACCAGGCCCCTGGTGCAAGCAAATTAGCTCACAGGGTGTCCAACTGAATTACAGCTGGGCCATTCCAATGCTAGAGGACCATTGGCCAACCACGATTGTAATTTTCAAGAGAAAGGATCGTCCTCGCCTTCCCTACTTTGTACATGACAGACACTGATGCCAGTACTTTGTTGGCACTTCTGATTCCACCCTGGAATCTGCTTCCCAGATGGCCCAGACGGATACAGTCATTTATACTTATCTTGGAACCCTCAGGTGTAGCACTGGGCTGGATAATTATCTCAGCTGTCATTCACCTACCCACCATTGCCATCCACCCAATCATGAATACTTACCTGGCATCTTCCAAGAATCAGGTACCACCCTCAGTGCAATAGCCACAGAGACCAGATATCCCATGCCTTCCCTCAGTATTTCAGAAAGTCTTGCCTAGCTGTGTTGTCTGAGCTCACTATGGGGCAGATACACCTTCTTGGGCAGCGGGCAGCATGGAGTGGACAGCCCCGTTATCTGGTCCGTGGGATGCAGAGACCAGGGCAGCACCACTTACAGGACGCCTGATCCCCATTGGTCTTCAGGGCAATATCATTCCTCTCCTGACGCCCTTTGGTTCCCGACACCTCTTCCATCTTGTGAATCTCCGACAAGCAGAGTTTGGGGTTGTAGTGGAAGAAGAGTTTCCCGCGGGTGATGGTGAGGTTGTGTTTGCTCCAGTCCCACAGCTGCCTTAGGTTCTGGTTGTCCAAGGCGTAGAAGGAGTAGTTCCTATGGAGACACACAGACACACACTGAGTCCTCTGACGCTCACTGCGCCACCTCCAAGATGCCGCGAAAGGCTCAAGTCTGTGTCGTTCAGTGCTGTCACCCCAGTCCTTATCACTTGCTTTGAGACAGATTCGAGAAGCACTCCTTGAATGGGGAGAGGGCAGTCTTACGACCAGGAAGGTGTCTGAGCTTGGTCTCCAAGAGAGGAGGCCTAAGACGGTAATGGGTTGAGATACAGATTTTGCAGAGGGAGAGGATTGTAGACTGAAAGGCAGTTGAGTGCAACGTGGGTCCACCAGGGAAAACCAGAGAAGCCTACACCAGCCCAAGGGCACAGGAAACAAGGCCGGCAATGTGGCCATTGCCCATCCATGTAGAATATTACATGCTAGACTGAGGATGTGTGACCCAACTCAGAGGGAGGCATGGCTGGGTCTACCGCAGCTAGGCCTGTTCTTTCCAGCGATTAATGGGCCCCTGTGGTACAATGAATCGTGGCTCTTCTAACTGTAGCCTTGAACCCTGGTGACATCGTGGGTTATCTTTCGGTCAGCAGTTCAAAGCAACCAGGCACTCCGTGGAAGTAAAAGGTGAGACTTTCTATTCCCGTACAGAGTTACAGTCTTGGAAACCCACAAGGGCAGTTCTACACTGGGGTCACCATGAGTCACAATCAACTGGGCAGCGGGTGAGTTTTGTTTTGTTTTGTTTCTCGGAACCACAGTCTTTGACTTGGTGGGACCATATGGGTATAGAATAGGGAACTCTAACGTGGAGACTGGTTAGTTTGGCCACCCCGGTGATTTTAAAATGAGCCATCTCCGAAGCAGAAAGGGGGTGGGAAGAATCCCACTACCATCAAAAGAGAAGAGTCAGGAGTGGAGCGTGTCCTTTGTACCTCGAGATGCGTGTGTGACAGCTCTCAATCCAGGAGACAGGGCTGTGACACGAGAGGCTTGGCAGAGGAGCAGCAGTGGCAGAACCAGGAGTCGGAGGACAAGATAAAGCAGTGGGCTTCTGGAATTGAATCCCTTTGGGCGGGAGACTCGCTTGCAGAATGGAGTGCCTCCAGGCACTTAGCTGGGGGAGTTAAGACTTAGTAACCCAGAGCTAGAGCTAAAGCCTAGTGCCTTGGAGCTGAAAACTATGGTGCAGGAGCATGCCTCCTGAGCACGTATTGGCAGCACTCAAAGGGCTCTATTCCACTGCCTGAGCAGGACAGAGGCCAAGGGTCCACGTGACCAGAAAGAGGCCTGCCTATGGGCATGGCTAAGAAGAGGCTGCCCTTACCAAAGAACCCTACCCAGAGTTGTTTCTGGTCCTAAATCATAACCAGTTCACGTCCCTATCAAACCCTATAATCATCTTGTACATTCTGTGTGACCTCTGCAGTGAATGACTGAACCCAGCAGAGAAGTCGAGTGTGCCCTGGGAGGGGCAGCTGAGTGTCGGTGTGGGTAAAGAAGGGTGGAGGGTGGAGGCATGTCTGACCTCTGCCTCATAGGGCTTGGCTGTGGGCCGGGCTGGTGTTGAGTCTGAGTCTCCCTCATCCTTATGAACCCAGAAGAGGTCAGATGTGGCCCCATGGCACCTCTACGGCCATTGGGCAGGCAACGGATGGGAGAAGGGGGAGTGTCTCGACCGGCTGGGCCTGAGTCAGCAGCCATAGTGGCCCTTGAGTGTGTGACCTGGGACTGTTCAGAACCCGCTGTTGCCGCTGGCTGCCATCAGCCTGATCCTCCACATGGC